TACAGGTGAAGTTAGCTTACATAATTCACCGCATGATACAAAAACGGATTCCTTTATAATACATACCAATCACATTTTTGTTCTGTGTGCATATGATTCTGCACTGCTTCCACTAACATGCAGAGATACGTATGCTTTTTCAATATAAAGAGTCAGAGAATCAACATATCAGAGTGTATGGGGATATACTTGCTGATATGACAGTACAAGGAGGGGGAGAATATTTTAGCAAGTGAAGAAGATAAAATTAGATCCACAATGGGTCGGATCAGCACTGAGGGCTTCTCACTTGCTTCAGTGGAGTGCTGAAAAATGTCTGAAGCAGATGAAAATAGTGCTAAGTCAGGGACAGGTGAGCCTCATGGAGTTCAATTTTTTGTAAAGCTCTCAAACTCTCTTTTGGGTTCCCCAAATTAACCTGAGTTCATTAACCACTTTTTCTTGTAATTTACAACTTACCAAAAAAAAAAAAAAAAAAAAAATCAGGACACAGGGACCAAAAAACCCCCACGATTGGCTTAAAAATCAAGAGAGTTTAAAAATAAATAAATTTGGGCAGTTTTTCTTTGCGTTCTGGTTTCTTAGCCTTTAGGTTGCCCTCAGGCCATATTATCAAGTATTTCTTTGCAAGCATGAAGGATAGATTTTTTGTTTTATAAATGAAAGCAGAGAATCTCATGTAACAACCACATGACTTCTGTGATCAGGCTATGTCTACACTACTGCGGTAAGTCAACCTACGCTACGCAACTCCAGCTACATGAATAATGTAGCTGGAGTCGACGTACCTTAGGTCGAGTTACCAGGGGGTCTACACCATGCGGGGGAGGGAGGGCGCGACAGGAGAAAATCTCCCGTCGACTTACCTTACTCTTCTCATCGGGGGTAGAGTAGACGGGTTGACGGGAGAGCGATCTGCAGTCGATTTGGTTGGTCTTTACTAGACCTGCTAAATCGACAGCCGGTGGATCAATCTCAGAGTGTCAATCCCAGCTGTAGTGTAGACCTGCCCTGAGGCTTGAAGTCAAACAGTAAATATTGCAAGACAAGTGATACAATTGTGAGAGTTGGTAACAGAGCGAAGTTAGGTGAACAACATGTGGGTGGCCTGTATAAGACTTTCACACTGTTCCCCCCCATTAGAATTTTTCTCTGCTCCTTTCCCCCCCATTCTCAGCTCCATTTTTCACCATTGCCCTATTAGTTTTCCCTCTTCCCTCTTTTGTTTTCACAGTCTCTCCTAAATCAAACAGGAGCCCAATAACATCTGATTTAGAGGTCAAGTTTCAAGCCTGTGATATTGCAATAGATTATTAAATTCGGAGAAAACCAGCTCATCCATTCCTACCTATCTCTTGCAAAGTTTAGACGTTTAAATCAAGATATTCCTAATATGCACTGGCTTTCTTAGGTGCAGCCTTAATTTGTCAGTTCCTGGGACTCCCACGCCCCCTCATGTCAAGCCCCAGTGAGACCACGTCTGGCTTTCTTTGATGTCAATGACAGTTGAGCCTTGTCTTTGCTGGAAGAAGGATAGGACCAAGTACAATATATCAGTTTGTTTTCATTAATCAAACCTGTGATCTTGATCCAAATTCCTCTTGCTTTCTGCACACGTACCATTCCAATGGGATTATGCGTGTGAGGAAAGTGAGCAAAATGGCCTTTTTAGAAGTATTCTTCACATAGAAGCCTCTTGCTGATGATCTGCTTCTCAGAATTGGTCTTGGTGTTTTTATTTATTTGTGTGTTTTACAAATTCTTGCAAATATATGATCCATTATAAACTCTCACACATTTAAATCAACTACTCACCACTAATTGAAGACATGGAGTAGAATCATAGAATATCAGAGTTGGAAGGGACCTCAGGAGGTCATCCAGTCCAACCCCCTGCTCAAAGCAGGACCAATCCCCAACTAAATCATCCCAGCCAGGGCTTTATCAAGCCTGACCTTAAAAACTTCTAAGGAAGGAGATTCCACCACCTCCCTAGGTAACCCATTCCAGTGCTTCACCACCCTCCTAGTGAAAAAGTTTTTCCTAATATCCAACCTAAACCTCCCCCACTGCAACTTGAGACCATTACTCCTTGTTCTGTCATCTGGTCCAGTGCAAAAGAAGGTGATGGCTTTATAAAAATACCTATTCCTAATATGCAGTGTTACATCAGATCATGAATAGTAAATCACTGGGTCTACATTTACAAACATTTTCCTGGCTAAGTATTATTTGTAGCCATGTCTATAGTGCACTCACTGTGTTATCAGACCATCTGGTAAGATTAAGATACATGTTGTTAGCTCTAAAATGTAGTACTCTTTTCATTCCTTTGAAGTCAATTTCTTACCTAGCTTAGGTGCTGCTGATCGATTCCATCTGTGCTGAGTTTGTCATTATATGAGATTGCTTGAGGGGCTGCCAGCATAATCAAGTGGGTCTGCAGTCGGCATCATAGTTGAAAGGTGATGAAATCCAGGCTCAACCCAATCCCCTGCAGCAGCCAAATCCATCATCATGGGTCTTCCCGTGAGAACACCCTGAACTTGACCACCACAAGTTCAAACCAGGACTCTGTCAGCCACAGCATTGCCACTGAGAATAGAAGATCTGGTGGAGAGCTAAGATACCTGAATGGGTAAGGCCCAGATGTTTTGAAACAGACCCAGAATTTGATGCTGGATGACATGTGACTGAAATCCATGACGTGATCATTTGGACAGCCTTGCTGTCCAAATTAGGTTCATATGTCATAGAATATTAAAAGTTGCTTGTAAACCATGCAGTTCCTGACTGCTCATTTGATCCTGAACATTTTTGCCTCATACGAAAAATGAGTAACACTATGATAAATTACAGGCAGTCATTCTTCTGAAAGACAAGGTGGGTGAGGCAATATCTTTTACTGAGCCAATTTCTATTGGAGACAGAGACGAGCTTTCGAGCCACACAGAGCTCTTCTTCAGGTCCAGTAGAAGATATTACTTCACTCACCTTCTCTCCGATATCCTGGGACCGACACAGCTGCATACAGTCGTTCTTCTATCATTTTCAATGCAAAAAATTGGCTGGGCAGTTTCAGTTGTGCCCAGGAAAATTTTAGATAACCATAAGAATGAACTTAGTTGTTGATATTTACACATGTGTATAGCTGAAAGCATAAAAGCTGCCATGCATTCATTTTAACTGCTGGAATGCTTTTAAGGGTTTGGATTAGAAAACACAAACAACAATATTCCCTGGGAGCAAATAGGTACTTAAAAATAATTTCTTTATGATGTTACACAGGCACAAAATTTTGGTGTTGCTCTAACAAGTGGATTATTTTGGTATTCTACAAGAGGATTTTGATTAGTCAAACACAGGAGCTTTGCTTTTAGTGATAACAATTACATCATTCATAACCTTTCTATCCACAGGCTTATTTCAAACACTAATGTGCAGATGGTGTTCTGAGGAGAACTAGCCAGCGTATTCGATTTCTTTATCTATGCAAGAAGTTAATTCCACTTTCAGAATTAACCATCATTTAGGATTTTAGATTCAGAGATTTTTTTTCCCCCTGCAAAATATTAGTTCCTTAAATCTGCAGTCAGCACCCACTTCGAAGTGCCTTGACTTGGATAACAACAAAGTTTTTTTAAAAAAATCAGCCAGCCAAAAAGGGGGTAGGGAAAGGAAAATAAAATGATCATTCTATGTTAACCATCCAAATTGCTTTGCACTAATACATAGAGGCCAGTACAAAGAAAATCAATGGTATTTTAATATAGCTAGTAGAACTAAGAAGAATGTAAAAAACTGTTCAGCACTGAATCAAAACCAAAACCAAAACCCTAAGTAGGGTAGTTCATCCCAGTGCACAGGACCCTCATAGATCCCTGTATGTCATTTGAGTTCTTTATTCTGTTCAAGATAAAAGGATATGAATCTTAATAAAAATTCTCTGTGGCCTTACCCTCTCTCTGTTGAGATGGACTTTAAAATTGTTATTACATCATTATGCATAACCTTGTGGAGCTGAGGGCAAAGGAAAGTAAGGCAGGGAAGAAGTTATAAAGAACTTCTAATTGTGATCTGCTAACTTGAATCCCAGCTATATTAATACATAAAACTAAGTAATCATGTAAGACCCAAGGATACATATTCTGTTACAGGATAACTTGCAAAGTTCAGTTCTTACCTGTCATATAAATTAGAGAGATTTAATAATAGATTCAGAATCAGCCTTATTTATTAAATTAAAACCTCACATACCATTCAATGAAATGATGACTGTTAGACGGAAAATATTTTTTCATGTTCTACAGCAGAATTAATATCAATGTTGTGGCTGGTCATTCAGAAGAAAACAAAACCTTTTGAAAGAAATTTACTGTACTTTAAATTGGCTATTTGTTCCCTGTTTATGGAATTGACTCTTTGTCTCATAACACTGAAAATAGAAGCATTCATATACCAGTTTGTCATTTTGCTACATCTGTTCTTTTCCTTATTTTGAAACAGATTCACTGACTCTATCAGACTGCAGTTTTAATTCTGTTTTTCCAGTGAAGATTTTGAGTCCATACCCCAGTTCTAGCACAAGGCCCTGTCCCACCCATGCGCGCGCGCGCGCACACACACACACACACACACACAAGCTGATAAAGTCACCTTTTAATGAGAGCTGCTGGGTGCTCTGCACTTTTGAAAACAGGCCACATTTTTGAAATATACATAATGATTTATCAGCTTAAATGTAGACACACATTTTAAAAAAATCTTGGCCAAGTGTTCTTCAAATAGCATATGCATATGTTTTCTATTGCTAAACAGTGCTATAGTCCTGACATTTCCTGTCTTGGTTCACTTGCTATCTTCTTTTTGTACATGTGGAACTTAAACTAGTTAAAATAATATAATTAAAATGTCATTTAAAAAAAAATAAAACAATCATGTCATAATCCAATCAATCTCCAAAACCTTGGATCTAGCCCAGGCTCTAGCTTTTGAAGCATCTACTTCACATCATCAAATTCATTCATTTGTATGCAGCAAGAGGCCTGTCTTCTGGTGTATCCAAAACCGTAATCATCACTTAATGTTGGGAAATCATCATCAACATTGCCAGAATTGGAAAAGAACGTTGCCTCTGATAGCAGAAAATGACACAAAATGATTTTCACTTTCAATTTTTTCTTTTAGGTTTCCTTTCGTTAGAAAATATCGTAAGCATGATAAGAAAACAGGAAATAAAGCATTACAATGGCCCTGTTTAAATGCTACATTTTCCCCACGGATTTGATTACCAAAATATTTCTTTACTGGTGGTGAAGGACAGGTGAACACAAGGTCATTCACGGTTTCAAAAGTCATTCGGGAATTTAAAATAAAAGTCTTCTGGACTTGCAAGACGCAGCTGAGTTGTGTCATGTACAGCAGTGATGTACTTAGACTGTACGCTCATGTGCCAGGGACTGTTTCATTTTGTCTGCATACATATGCATACGGTGCCTATCTTAATGGAACCCTGGCCTCTAGGCAGTACTGCGATGCAAGGAAACGAAAAACAAACAACGATTCAATTACAATGTGTTTTTCCATCAAGGGAAGCCTGTGCTATGTAAACAGAGAAGAAAGCTGTGAAATACAGCATTGTGTGCTGCTGTTCTTCCACAGAAACATATACAAGCCCACTGTAGTGCAGAGTTGCCTTAGAGATGGAGTAAGCTTCTGGATCACTCATAGAAATGAAGGAAACGTGGCTAAGTCCCTTTTGTAAAAGCAGGGGGGGGGGGTGGAAATCCTACCGTACCCTGCATATACCTAAAAAGTGGAACAGGCAGTTGAAGAAAGTAAATAAAAACATGGCAAAGGAATATATAGCAATCTACAGCCTCAGGAACAGCTTGTGACAGATTCTCACAGCACGTTTTTCAAAGCAGGTGACAGACAGTTCAGATGCAACATGTCTGAGAAAAGTTTGGCTGTGGAGTTCATAGTCTTCGAATGCACAAAAAGTTTACAGCAGTAGAAAGAGAGCCTGGTCTACGGTGGCACAGAGAGGCATGTGCAGTAGAATATTCCCCTAATGGCAAGTAATTCTCTGCTTGTAGGGAGATATATTTCCAACATTACTCCACGCTGAAAATTAGCCGTAACAAGGGAAATGAACAGAGGAAATGCTAAATTCTTTACATCGATATAGACAATTAAATTCTGAAGAGAAATTCGTATTATAATACATCTACAGCACTTGAGAGTAAAGCATTAAAATATTTGAATCAACCCCCAATCAAGAGGATACACAAAATTTTAATTCAGCGTTGTAGGAAATATGGGGTGAAATTTTCAAAGCCATCTAGGGGGTTAGATGCACAATTCCCCTTGAAATTAAGGAGCGATGTGTTTCTACATTCATATAGTAGCTTTGACAGTCTCATCTGTAATTACCAGAGAAGACAGATAATGCAAGTGATTTCCATTTCAAAAGTTTTAAAACAACCCCCCCAAAACCAAACCCCCCCCCCAAGCTTAAAAAGTCATAGTTGAGAGGTAAGGAAATCATACTTCTTGGATTGTAAGGACAGTAGAGACCATTAGATCATCTGCTCTGATATCCTGTATAACACAAGCCAAATAATTTCACCCAGATCTCTTTGTATTGAGCCCAGTAACTTGTGTTTGACTAAAATGGATCTTCCTAAAATCAGACCCAGGTTTGAAAACATCCAACAACTCTGAACATCCATTGACTTCTGTAATATACTAGGTCAGTCTGACTTTGAACAACATTTATAACAGATGTTTGCAGTGTCATCACAGCCATGTTGGTCCCAGGATATTAGAGAGACAAGGTGGGTGAGAGAATATCTTACATTGGACCAACTTCTGTTGGTGAGAGAGACAAGCTTTTGAGCTCTTTCACCAACACAAGTTGATCCAATAAAAGATATTACCTCACCCTCCTTGTCACTTTTAACATTAGCAATCCTGTATATTGACCACTGCAGGAACCTATGAGTGGTGACGACTAAATGGAATCGTAAGTCTAAATCTATTAAGAGATCACTGAGAAAGTCTGAATTAATAGGACATCAGCATAAATATAAATTAGACATCCCCGATATTGTTCTAAAGTCTTCGTACCTGAGACATATACACTCAACATATGGAATAACTTTTACAAATGTAAGGAGGAATCCTATCTGAAATTCCTTTATTGAGATGCAAGAAGAACCACAACAGGAGTTTTTTGTTTTGTTCTTTAAAATGCCACATGTACCCCTTGCAGGAGGCTGAAGACAAAAAAATCTTCAGTGTGGTCTCTTTAGTATTTGAAGGTGAAATGCCATTAAAAATAAAACTTCACTTTTTCAGGCAACAGAGATGGGCATTTCCAGGGAATTTACAGCAGCATCTGCCAGAGTTAAAGAGACTTACATCCCAAGAGGTATACACAAACAATGGATGGTTAATGCTATTATGGCTTCCATTCAGGCTCTCATGATTTGATAAGCGAAGTTCCAGAGTTATTATTCTTTTTAATTTTATTTCAATTAGATGAAAAAGGAAAGACTGACACTGGAATGTATTTACAGTAATTTGGCTATCTGGAAGATGGACTGTAATGAGGTACAGAAGTTTACATTTTTGCTATGTTTCTTTCATCTTTGTATTCTGTTGCCAAACTCAAAGCACTGAAGCCCCTCCATAAGCCTGCGTGCACATCACATTTGCCATTCGTATTATATAGGAATATAAGCACTGGAATGAGAAAAGAAATCCTAGGAGCCAAAGGTTCCATCTGTTTTAATACAGCACTTCTCCCAGGGCACTTTCAGTAGATTTAAGTTACTTCCTTTACCTTTGTTCTCACTAGAAGTTTGAACCATGGTTTTGTAAACTACTAGAACCTTGCTTGATTGGCTAAATGGGTATGTTTTTTCCAATAGGGTTACCTCAATCGAGTTAGCTTAGCATAACCAAAAAGCCCTGACAACATGCAGGCTAAAATGTCTGAAGTCACGTTATCAAGTCACGTTTTAGTATGGTGGGAGAGGGACATAGTCATCTTCACTGGTTACAGGCAACATGGTTCAGTTTGTGTCCACGCAGCAGCTTTACTGCCATCACAACCATGTTTGTACATCTGCACCTACCTTGTTTGTATTAAACAGTTCTGAGAAAATGTAGGCGGCTATCTCATAGTGCTCCAGAGAGGACAGAGTTTCTGCAGGGCCTGGGCACGGAGCAGCAAAAGCAGGATGTGAGGCAATGCATTCTCAGATGGCCTAGTGCAAAGAGAGCTGGAAGGAAGAAGGTTACAAGGCATGGTTAGATATTCTTTATTATTTTCATTCAGGTTGTGTCTAAAGGCTCCAGTTAGGATCAGGGCTTCATTGTGCTAGGCACTGTACAAACACATAGTAAAAGTCCCTAAATTGAAGGTTTACAATCTAAATAAGGAATCAGCTTTCACTTTCAAGGCCTCTGAGACCAGGTTACTATATGGATCCATTGCCACCCTAGAACCAGACGTTCTCGGGGAACAATTTAATCTAGTGGCAAAGCGGGAGTGAGAAGAACCTCAGGGAGGCACACCACCAGTGATTTATGGTAAATAGGGTGGTAACTTGTGAAAGATTGGCCACCTAGTTTCCTCATTTCAAATTGAGAAATGAGTTGTTTTATTGAGTGGACCAATTTATCCAAAAACGATAGAGTTCTGATATCGGACATCATTCTTGAAACTAGTTCAAAGGGAAGTTCTATGGCTTGTCGATATCATACCCTCTGCTGGCCACATGGGAAGGGAGAAGACTCTACAGAGATTGGTTGCAGTCTTGATGGCCCATCATGAGATGACTAGTTTTGTGCCTCCCATCCAGAGTGCCAGAAAGTGGCTCAGACAGTTACCAGGTTCTTCTAGTTCCCTTGGTTCTAGTGAGAAGTAGCCTTTTGGGAAGATTAGGATGAGTCTTTTGATTCGATAAAGGAAGACATACATTCATTCTAGTAATAGTGGACTATGCCACATGGTTTTTGGAAGCTGTCCCACTTGGAACCTCACTAGAGAAGAAAGTGGTTCAGGAATTCTCAAAGGTAGGATTTCTCCCAATAAATTTTGCATTCCTGGACACCAGCTTCATGTCTGCACTGCAGTGACAAATATGTGACCTGCTGGAGGTCAAACCTGTGTGTGTGTGTGTGTGTCTGTCTACAAACACCCAGACAGATGGACTGAACATTTCTCTCAATTTATTTTGCTATGGCTCTATATCTCTGTGATGCTGCAGTAGCTCTCTAGCTCTGTAAGGCTGAGTGCCACAGCTACAGACTGCACTTACCAAAACCATTTGAAATTGCTCTGTACTATATGGGCCTTTGTATTTTTCTAACCCACCTCAGGGCTTCCATTTTTTTGTACATCAAAGTGAATTGGATTTTTTTTTTAATACTTGTTCATTTCTTCATCTCTTGCTCCTTCCCCTTCCCCCTCCTATAAAAAGTACTAGATTCCAGGGTCACACCCCAGCCCCCGATATTTTCTTTAGAAGTATTTTAGACACATGGAAATCTTTCTTCTGATGTAATTTTGCAAAGCTTCCTTAACTGGAAACTTGCTTTCACCTCCTAGCATTTTCCCCCCATGCAGAAGTGCTTTAAATCCCATTATATCTCTAAGGGTATGTCTACACTACGAGAGTAGTTCGATTTTAGTTAAATCGAATATGTGCAATCGATATTAGAAAGTCGAACGTGTGTGTCTACACTAAGGACAGTAATTCGACTTTGTCAGTCCACAGTACCAGGGAAAGCGTCGACATTGGAAGCAGTGCACTGTGGGCAGCTATCCCACAGTTCCCGCAGTCCCCGCTGCCCATTGGAATTCTGGGTCGAGCCCCCAATGCCTTCTGGGTAAAAAAATGTGGCGAGGGTGCTTTTGGGTAACTGTCGTCATCCGTCAGTCACTACCGCCCTGCCTCCCTCCCTGAAAGCGCCGGCGGGAAATCAGTTCGCGCACTTTTTGATCAGTGACAGCGCGGACGCCACAGCACTGCGATCACGGATCCCGCTGCGACCATCGCTGCAGTTGTGGCCGTTCTCAACGCCTCGCACCTTATCATACACCTTACCCTGAGGCAGATGCAGAGTAATCAGGCGAGGAGGCTACGGCACCGCCGTGAGGGCCTGAAGTCGGAGAGTAGCACAGAGCTGTCAGAAACCACGAGCCCCAGCGCCCAGGACATCACGGTGGCAATGGGGCATGTGGATTTTGTTGAACGGCGATTCTGGGCCCGGGAAACAAGCACGGACTGGTGGGACCGCATAGTGCTTCAGGTCTGGGATGAATCCCAGTGGCTGCGAAACTTTCGCATGCGGAAGGGCACTTTCCTGGAACTTTGTGACTTGCTGTCCCCTGCCCTGAAGCGCAAGGACACCCGCATGCGAGCAGCCCTGACTGTCCAGAAGCGAGTGGCCATAGCCCTCTGGAAGCTTGCAACGCCGGACAGCTACCGGTCAGTCGCGAACCACTTTGGCGTGGGCAAATCTACCGTGGGGGTTGTTGTCATGCAAGTAGCCAAGGCAATTGTCAAGGTACTGCTGTCAAAGGTAGTGACCCTGGGAAACGCGCAGGCCATCATAGATGGCTTCGCTGCGATGGGATTCCCAAACTGCGGTGGGGCTATAGATGGGACTCACATCCCTATCCTGGGACCGGGCCACCAGGCCAGCCAGTACATCAATAGAAAGGGCTACTTTTCAATGGTGCTGCAAGCACTGGTGGACCATCGGGGACGGTTTACAAACATCTACGTCGG